CTGTGAAAGCAAACCTGTGGTTAAAGACTTCTTAACTCTTAATCTCACTCAGTCGGTGTCTCGCCCAACACATGAATAGAGACACACATTAGACCTTGTGCTGTCTCATGGCTTGTGTGTTCATGTAAATGAAATCTGTAACATACGTATTTCGGATCACTTCCCTGGCTTATTTACGATTACAGTCCCATGTTCAAATCTCCTCTTGCACGCTGCCGTCGTTTAATTAACAGTCAAACCCCGGCACAGTTCTCTGCTGCTTTCAAAGACTCTGTGCTCTATATCTTGGATGGAGGTTGATGCTACTGGTGCTGATGAACTTATTACTCTTTTTAATTAAACCTGCGCAAACATCTTGGACTCGCACTAAAGCGCTTTCAGAGCCCTGGTTACATGACACCACCCGAGCGATCAGACGTGCATGTCGTCAAGCTGAGAGAAGGTGGAAGAAAGATAAACTCAGAGTGTCACATGAAATCCTACAGCAATATCTATCTGACTATCAGAAAGCTGTAAAATCTGCAAAATCTGATTTTATTTCTAAGCTGGTCTCCAACAACTGTCACAGGCCACAGGTTCTTTTTAATGTGTTTAACACCATTACAAAACCCCGAAACTCTGCTCGTATTACACCTACATTGGACCTCTGTGACTCCTAAAATTCTTTGTTGAGAAGATTTTTGCTCTTCAATCTTCTGTAACCACATCCTGTGACCATGATCCCTCTGCTCCTCCTATGTGCCTTGCGGTCCTGGATCAGTTTGAGCCCATATCAATCTCCTCCCTATCTGAGGTGGTCCATCATCTGAGGCCCACAAATTGTCCCTTGTTTGATTACAGAAGTCTTTGATAACGTTGGACCATGTATTTTGTCATTGATAAATGCCTGTCTTGTCTCTGGTCATGTTCCTGTCCGCCTTTAAACACGCTGTTGTACAGCTGCTAAAAAAGGAAAATCTCAACCCCTCTGTTCTCTCTAACCTCAGGCCCATCTCTAAACTGTCTTTCTTATCTAAAGTCCTGTGGAAAGCAGTTTTTACCCAGCTGCAAACATTTTTAATTAATAATAATGTTTATGAAAAGTTCCAGTCCGGCTTCAAACCCCGTCACAGCACTGAAACGGCACTTTTAAGAGTTTTTACTGACTTGATTTTAACTGTTGACACAGGAGTCTTTGCTGTCCTAGTGCTCTTAGATCTCACTGCTGCCTTTGACACTGTTGACCTCTCAATCCTCTTGTCACGGTTGGACAATTGTGTGGGAATCAAAGGTACTGCACTTAGGTGGTTTCAATCCTATCTAACCGATAGAAGCTTCTCGGTGCACCTCGGTGATTATTCCTCTGAAACGGCCCCATTTACCTGCGGTGTCCCTCAAGGTTCTGTCTTAGGACCCATCTTATTGTCTTTGTATATGCTGCCCCTGGCCTCCATTTTTCAGAGGTATGAGGTCTCTTTCCACTGCAGCCCCTGCTTGACTGTATGAAGGACATCCAAATGTGGATTAACCTAAATTATATAGTGCGTTTAAATTTGATAAACATATATTCGCCACTGTTAGATCCTGCTTTTTCCAGTTGAGAACTATAGCCAAGGTAAAGACCTATCTCCCTCCTAAAGATGTGGAGAGGGTGATTAATGCCTTCATAACTTCCCTCCTTGACTATTGCAACTCCTTATATGTGGGCTTAGACAAGTCATCGATTCAGCGCCTGCAGTTAGTCCAAAATGCTGCTGCCTGCCTCCTGACAGGAAAGAAGAAGAGGGACCACATCACACCTGTGTTGCGCTCCCTCCTCTGGCTTCCTGTTCATTACAGGATTAATTTTAAAATCTTACTTTTGACTTTTAAATGCCTTAATGGATTGGTTCCATTGTACTTAACGGAGCTTCTTCACGTTCATACTGCAGCTAGAGTGCTGAGATCCACCAGTCTCCTCCTCCTGGATGAGGAAACCAGAGGCGATCCAGCCTTTAGTGTAGCTGCCCCTAACCTGTGGAACAACCTGCCAGTCCACATCAGAACCGCCCCAACTCTCGAACGTTTTAAATCAAAAACACATCTCTTTTCTTTGGCATTTCCTTTGAGTTAAGTCTGTTATTATTCCTGACAATTTTAAAATCACTATATATATGGTATACTGTATATTATAATGTTTTATTGCTGTATTTGTACTGTGTAAATAGTGTCTTGTTGGTGTATTTAACCTGTGAATCACCTTGGCCAACCTTTGTTGTTTAAAGTGTGCTATATAAATAAAATTGATATTGAATGTTCAAAATGTTTACATCTATCCCACATCTGTGTAATCTGACATCTCCAGAAAGATTTTAAGGAGAATAATGTCATCATTTAATCACATTCACAATATTTTTCAAAACCTCCCCACCCTATAATCTGCTGTTCATTCCTTGCTCTGCTGATATGAAAAGAATCCCAGACAGACAGACACAGAACCCGTTTACTGTATAGATGAGACCTTTGCAAAACTAAACTAACTGAAAACACTTCACCACAAACCATCACATGTTAACTTCATCAGCTCTGTGCAGCTCACATTCCCAACAGAGCAAGGCTGTGTTTCAGATTATACATTTTTATATTGTAAAACTCTACCAGCTACGTTAGTTGATCACAAACTCACTGCATTCCTGTCACAGCATCTGCCAGTGTTGCATCAGGTGGGTGGAGTGTAATCACGCAGAGTCGACGCAATTAATTATAGTATAATGTTACATTAGTTTTTCCAATACGTGAGAAAATTGATGTATGGCGTGAGGGCGTGTGAAAAGTGTCAATTGCTTGACTCTCACACTCAATGCGTGAGAGTTGGCAGCTCTGCTAAGGTGTTCCATAGGATCCCAATTCCCACAGCAAGTTCCCCTGATGCAAATGTTAAATCAATACATGACAAGCTCCCACTGTTCAATTGAAACATAGTCGGTCTTCCATCATTTAACACCACCAAATTGTATTTAACTACAAAATCTTCTATTAAAACCCAATTTCCATCTCTGATTCTGCTGCCCCAAAGACAATTGTGAATATAAAAATTATAAAGACACCCCTTTGTTAGTCTGCCTATATTGCTGCACCCACATAGCCTGCTTATATTGCTCACATTCATGATTTCCAGCAATGTGCCCTCCACCGCATGGGAAATCTCATGTTCACCTCCACATTTCCCACATCTTCTACTTCCTCTACAAGCAGCTGCAAGATGTCCATGCCTCTGGCACTTAAAGCACATCAAAGGTCTGTATGGCTGCACTTTAAATGACAAGCACCCTAGGAACACTCGTTCTGGGAGGGCTCTTTCCTGAAAAGTTAACACCACAGTTGATGATTCTCGCTTAGCTCCATCACAAAAGACATTAATTCTGGTGGCCTCATTAACCCTCGCCCCCTCTATGCCCCTCACCAACTCAGCCTTGGAGATCTCCAGAGAGACCCCATAAATTACCCCTTTCAAACCAGCCTTGCTCCGTGGAATAAATCCTTCCACCTGCCGCTTTCCTATCGCATCCAGTGAAACAGCTCTGTCCAACTGAGGCCACAGACTTGCAAAATACAAGCAGCTTCCCATCAGCCAAGATTCATGCATTCAGGATGTCACTCAACTCTTCCTGCAATGCCCCAGCTAGACCTAATTGAATTGAGAGATCTAAACCCAGACTGCCCTTCCTTCAACTTAAAGATCACTTTATACTCTTTACTGCTTCTTCTCATTACCTTTACCTGCTGATCTCTCCCTCCATCTGACTCTTGTGAATCACTGGTTTTATTTTTCCTTTTCCTGTTCTTTCCCTTACTACTTGTTTCCCACCTACCCCCACCTTCATCCATGTCCTGCATAGCAGGAACAATGTCTAATTTATTTGTATTGACTGATATTTCGCTAGTTAATTTTGGTATCACCACGTGTCAAACAATTTAATCCCGTAAGCTAACAGCGCACTGTTTAACCCTTTTTGTGACACGGTTTTATATATGGGTTACAAATGGATTAGCACACACAGGTAGCAGGGATTGTCTGAGCTACAGAGAGAGCTGGAGGTGAGTAAAAAGTGTAATGCAGAGAAAAAATAGCTGCCTGCTCTCATTGGCTGGATGTGGAGTCGGCCGACTTCTCCAGCTAATTGGCATCCTAGATATCTGGCTGGCAGCAATGTGTCAGGGAGCTATTTTGATGAGTCATTGAGTAGTTCACACACACACACACACACAAACACACACACACCGACTGGCGACCGCTGATTCGTGTAAAAATCGTGTAGTGTGAACTAGGCTTAAACTGTTTCCAGACTGTTCACAGATAATTTATATGTCAGAAACAGAGGATTGGAGGACAGAGAGTCCATACGATGTAAAGACTGTAAAACTTTGAGACAAGTTTGTGATTTTGCACTCGATAAAGAAAACTTAGTTGACTTGGGAATCAATAAAGGACTGTATTTCACAGTGACAAATGAGGCTAAATTATGAGGTTAACAGAGAATAAAGTCACCTAGAAGGTGTTTCTCACAGCAGGAAATCATTTACACTGTAATTATATGCATCTAAATTTGCGCATTCTATTTGCTTTAAATATTTAACAATTGTATTTATAATAAATATTTATATTAATTATTAATTATTAATTATATTAATGTATAAAGCTAAATCCATCTTAACAAAATTAGTAGTTGTTGAGATATTTCAGTCTGGACCAAAGTGTTGAATAGACCGACTAACACTTCCATCCATAGAGCCATGCTGTTAGCAGGGCTCAGATGAGAATGATTATACATCCAAGTTTCTGATGTTTTTAATGAATGGCTGTTTCCAATCAAAAAGACTTCTGGAGATCCATGTGTTTCCTAACTCAGGCCTACTCACTGCACTGAACAGAAGTAGGAGAAATAAGAACTCCTTCATGATGATGGACTCCAGTAGACTGACATTACAGAAGAGAAAATAGAGACACCTGCAGAGTGTGAACTCTTGCTGTCTGTCCAAACCTGAGAGTGTCCAGTTTCCAGTGTGGATCCACCAGTCCAGCAGACAGCAGCTTCACCCCTGAGTCTCCTGGATAGTTGAAGCTCAGATCCAGCTCTCTTAGATGGGAAGGGTTGGAGCTCAGAGCTGAGGCCAGAGAAGCACAGCCTTCCTCTGTGATCAGACAGCCTGACAGCCTGGAATCAGGAAAACATCATGAACTTTGTGTTTTAGAAAATCATGTGAGCAGGAAAATCCTACAGACCATTTTCACTAACATGAACCTAAAACCAGATGAGGAGGATTTAAAAGAAACAGCTTAATACTGACCTGAGAGTTTCCAGGGTACAGTGTGGACTCTCAAGTCCAGCAGACAGCAGCTTCACTCCTGAATCCTGCAGGTTGTTGTTACTCAGGTCCAGCTCTCTCAGACTAGAGGACTGGGAGCTGAGAACTGAGGACAGAGCTTCACAGCTTCTCTCTGAGAGGTTACAGCCACTCAACCTGAAAAAGGATTAGCAATGAACACAAACTGAATGTTTTTTTGTCAAATATAAAATTAAGCATTTTTTTAATTACATCCACCTACAGAGCTTTGTTGGAGGCTTTGACCACTGGCAGCAGCCTCAGAAGAACCTCCTCTGAAGCAGAGTATTTCTTCAGGTCAAACACGTCCAGATCTTTTTCTGATGACAGTAAGATGAAGACCAGAGCTGACCAATGAGCAGGAGAGAGTTTATCTGTGGAGAGACTTCCTGAACTCAGGGACTGTTGGATCTCCTCCACCAGAGAACGATCATTCAGTTCATTCAGACAGTGGAACAGATTGATGCTTCTCTCTGGAGACAGATTCTCACTGATCTTCTTCTTGATGTACTCAACTATTTTCTGATTGGTCTGTGAGCTACTTCCTGTCTGTGTCAGCAGACCTCGTAGGAGATTCTGATTGGTCTGCAGTGAGAGACCCAGGAGGAAGCGGAGGAACAAGTCCAGGTGTCCATTTGGACTCTGTAAGGCCTCGTCCACAGCACTCTGGTGGAGAAGTGTTAGTTTAAGTTTGTCTCTGAAGACTTTAGACAGTCGGGAGGTTGTTTGTTCTTCTTCCAGCAGATTGACACCAGAGTTGATGAAGGTCAGATGGACATGAAGAGCAGCCAGAAACTCCTGAACGCTCAGATGGACGAAGCAGAACACCTTGTCCTGGTACAGCCCTCTCTCCTCTTTAAAGATCTGTGTGAACACTCCTGAGTACACTGAGGCTGCTCTGATATCGATGCCACACTCTGTCAGGTCTGATTCATAGAAGATCAGGTTTCCTTTCTGCAGCTGCTCAAAAGCCACTTTTCCCAGAGACTCAATCATCTTCCTGCTCTCTGGACTCCAGTGTGGATCTGTCTCAGCTCCTCCATCATACTTGATGTTCTTCAGTTTGGACTGAACCACCAGGAAGTGGATGTACATCTCAGTCAGGGTCTTGGGCAGCTCTCCTCCCTCTCTGGTCTTCAACACCTCCTCCAGAACTGTAGCAGTGATCCAGCAGAAGACTGGGATGTGGCACATGATGTGGAGGCTTCGTGATGTCTTGATGTGGGAGATGATTCTGCTGGCCTGCTCCTCATCTCTGAACCTCTTCCTGAAGTACTCCTCCTTCTGTGGGTCAGTGAACCCTCTGACCTCTGTCACCATGTCAACACACTCAGGAGGGATCTGATTGGCTGCTGCAGGTCGTGTGGTTATCCAGAGGCGAGCAGAGGGAAGCAGTTTCCCCCTGATGAGGTTTGTCAGCAGCACATCCACTGAGGTGGACTCTGTGACATCAGTCAGGACCTCATTGTTGTGGAAGTCCAGAGGAAGTCGACACTCATCCAGACCGTCAAAGATGAACACAACCTGGAACTCTTCAAAGCTGCAGATTCCTGCTTCTTTGGTTTCAGGAAAGAAGTGATGAACAAGTTCCACCAAGCTGTACTTTTTCTCTTTCAGCACATTCAGCTCTCTGAAAGTGAATGGAAATGTGAACTGTATGTCCTGGTTGGCTTTGTCTTCAGCCCAGTCCAGAGTGAACTTCTGTGTTAAGACTGTTTTCCCAATGCCAGCCACTCCCTTTGTCATCACTGTTCTGATTGGTTCATCTCTTCCAGGTGAGGCTTTAAAGATGTCTTCTTGTCTGATGGTTGTTTCTGGTCTGGCTGGTTTCCTGGATGCTGTTTCAATCTGTCTGACCTCATGTTCATCATTGACCTCTGCAGTCCCTCCCTCTGTGATGTAGAGCTCTGTGTAGATCTGGTTCAGAAGGGTTGGGTTTCCTGCTTTAGCAATCCCCTCAAACACACACTGGAACTTCTTCTTCAGGTTACACTTGAGTTTACGTCGGCACACTGGAGCAGCAGTTCCTGAATGAAGGAAGAAGAAATGTGATTAGTGGATGCTACAGTAAATCTGATAAATGTAAACTTTAAGACATCAAGATGGTATTTATTTTCCTCCTCCATGAAATCTCTTCAGCTCATCAGCTGTGAACAGTTTCTGAGTTTCAGCCCAGAAGAATTCATAGATCTGATCCAAATGTGTGCATCATATTAACAGCAGAGTTTGAAATGGAAACTTCTCCCATGTTGCCTCCATTTCCTCTTTCCATCATGTTAAATCTGTTCAAATCCTCTTACTGCTCTGCAGACGCTCAGCCAGCTCCTCCTGCTTCATTCTCCTCAGGAAGTGCAGTGTGATCTTCAGAAATGCCTCTCTGCTGCTCCTCCTCTGCTCCTCCTCCTCACCGTCCAACACCTCCTCATCCTCCCTCTGACTCTCTAAGCATTCTGGGTAATCTGGACTCAGAACTCTCTGGAACTTCTTCACCTCGTTCTTCACAAACCTGCAAATGTTTTCCTGGAGCAGCTGGAACAAAAGAAAATGTAAAGTTGAACTGGTAGAAGTCAACATCAGATCATCTGTGACAGACAGAAAGCCTGCTGGTCTGCAGAGTGCAGCATGGAGACTGGATCAGAATGCTGCTTCAATATTTACTTTGTGGCTCCTGTAATTAGCAGTAGTAGCTGAGCTTGTACATTTACACACCATAAATATGGAGTCCAGGTCTGTTTGATGCTGCTGGGCAGACTGACCACTGGGAACCTCTGAGCTCTGCTGATCAATTCTGTGAAGAAAAAATCTGTTTAATTATAAAATAATTATTTTATTTTAAGTATGGAGAATATCTTTTCTCAGATTAACCAGATTATAACACATTTAGGGGACCCTCTTGATTCAGTCAGCACCAACCGCCCCCTGCTGATGTTGGTCTCGGCTACTGGGAGATTGTAGATCCCAGAAACCTGAAGGCTTCTACTGGTGCTATTGAAGGGCATGAGTGCAACAGGGGTGGGTACCTACTGATGTCCACTGGAGAGCACAGCCAAGTTACAGAGGATTTAAAAACGTGAATATCTCGTCCCTCTGGCTGATTTTAAACATTTAAGGTGACCAACTGACTGACCAACATTAAAGGCAAATGTAAATGTACCCGAGTTAGCCACAGGCTAGTTTTCAGCGACAGTCCCTTTACCAGATGGTTTTGGGCATCATAAAATTGTAAACTAATATAATACAGTAAAATACCTTATAAAACTAACAAAAGTTAAAAAGATTCTGGAGAAATCCAACAGCAGGATTAACATCATGATACAGAGCAAACAAAGACACAGCAAGTGATGTAGTTAATGTTAGGTAAATTGTTTTTTAGCAAACAGCCGTTACAGCTTCTGCTGCAAAGCTGAGAGGATGAACTGTATGAAGGAGGACAAGATGGCGTGCAGACATGGAGTGATGGCAGCGGGGCTGCTCTACGCACTCATAACAAACTTTTTGGGAGCTAAACATCCGTATGAACCGGACTACCTAATTTTGACAAATAGTCATACATTGCAAAAACAGTTCGGATTTGGTCAGCTCGCATTGTTTACCACCTTTAATCGCCCTGGCATGGGAATGCAGGGCTCAGACAAACAATTCACCAAGACGGATCAGAGAGGGGGCGACTTCTCATAACTTTCTGTCTGCTCTTAGCTGGTGACGTTCATCAATGCCCTGGCCCAATGTTCCACACTGAATTTGCAACCAAATCATCAAAACCTGACACGACTAGTCAGTCATCTGGTTTACAGATACGATCTGCTGTTAACGTTGTACAAAAAAGTCCGGATCACCCACCTAAGTTCTGTGCTTGTTCCTCGGATGGTTCGAGGAGTGTACTGGCTGCAGTCGCCGCTCGGGCGGGTTCGCGGGGGATGTTTGGCATGGAGGAGGCGGGAGGGCAGTTTTCGGGCAGCGCTCAACCAGTTGACCTCTGTCCGACGAACTCCACTCTTCCCGTCTACGCTCTCTATGGTCCAGGTAAGCGTGGGCCAATCAAGAATCCACGTAGAATAGGAGTTAGCGCCACTCAACGGAGAGCCACAGGACTAAATCCAGCTATTTTAAAGCTGCGTAAATTTAACCTTTTTCAAACAGTGAATAATGCCAAAGTTCTGTGGGACCCTCAAACAAAACCCAGTGGGCTACTGGGCGGTCACCTGAATATCCGTAGTTTGATTTCTAAAAGTGATGAGATAAAACATATTCTTGTGGACTCTAACTTGGACTTCCTATATGCTTATCTGAAACTTGGTTGAATAAAAACTCCCCATCCGCAGCCATACATATTCCTGGCTATAATGTTTTTAGGAAAGATAGAAAGGTTGGCAAAGGTGGGGGTTTACTGTTATACATCAAAGAACATATATCATGTAAAGAGGTTCAATGCTCAGTTGAGAATGAGCTTGAGTATACTTTAGTGTATAGACCTCCATCTGCAAAAGCTAGTTTCTTTGACAAATTAGAAACTGTTGTAAAGGTATGCAGGTCAGGTCAGGAAATACTAGTAATGAGTGACTTCAATGTTAATTGGGAGGACAAAGGCACTAGTAAAGCATTGCAACGGATCTCTAATAAATTTGATCTCACACAACTAATTAAAGGGCCCACTAGAGTAACCTCGTCTTCAAAAACTCAAATTGACTTGATATTTACCAACAAACCTGAAAGGGTGTCGAAATCCTTTAACATGGTCACTGGTCTGTCTGACCATAACCTCACTCTTATAGCTAGAAAGCTTACTAAATCCTGTTTTCATTTAAAACCTAACACCAAATCTAGCCAGTTACGAATACCCAAGTGTGATGTTGATGAATTTGACAGAGAAATCAAAAATATTAACTGGGATCAAATCATAGCTGGTGTAGATGTGGATAATAACACAAATGTCCTCATGTCCACAATTCAAAACATAACAAAGCGATTTTTAAAGAAAAACAAATCTAAAGGGAATAGTAAATATACCCTCCCCTGGATCTCTAGTGACATAAGGAGATTAATGAAGGAGAGAGATAATGCTTTAAAGCTCTCTTTCAAGTCCAAATCATTGACTGATAGGCATATATTTGTGTCCTTGAGAAATAGAGTAATAAAGG